CTATCTTGGTTTCTCTCTCTCTCTCTCTCTCTCTCTCTGTCTCTGTCTCTCTCTCTCTCTGTGCAGGGGCGGTGTGTTATCACAGTGCAGCTCGCTGATGAAGAGCTGGCTGGTGAGGAGGGCGTGGACTACTTCCTGTTGTTTGCTGGCAGCACACAGAGGCACCTGACCAGCACCCTAAGGAGCAATCATGACACCTTGCAGGCAGTGTGTCCCGGTAAGCCAACCCACCCACAAGGCCTCGCAGCTTTTGTGTTATCTCTAATGGACCTGTGGGAAGGCAGCTCCACCTACAGTATTTAATACGTGTTAAATCTGTTTTTAATTTGTCTTAGTGATACCACAGTCCTTGTTGCAGATACCCTTTAGATTACCCAGATTACTGTTGGTAAATAAAAACAAACAAGATAAATTCAAAATAAAGAATAAAAATTAAATACATTTTAAAAATGTAAAATAAAAATATATGAATATTCACTGAAAGTCAGATATCCTGTATTGGTAGATTCTCTATATCCAGCATGTGCTATTACCCAAATTAACATTAAGAGGTGCTAAAGTATTCCAAATGCCAAAAGTCGGACTGTTTAATTCATTTAAGAAGGGGATGGTGTTATTCTACCCTGACTTCACACAGAAGGCATGGGGCAGTCAGGAGTTATTATAGCTGTGTAAGAAAGTTAAAGTAATAAATGATTAATCATCCACCACCACTGTCCTCGTTTTTAAACTAATGTTGTGATTTGGGAGAGAGAAATCACCTCATTTTACTTTTCCTAGAGCCTGGCTCATTCATCACTCCTCTTGGAGCACATCCCATGGCTTCTGCCTGCAAAATCGAGCGTATTTAGCCATTGTGAAAGTCAGAGATACCTTCTGTGAGGTGAATGAGCAACAACAGGCAGCTCAGAAATCAAGGGTCAAAGGGCACCCTATACAGAAAAATAGGTGGTGCAACTACAGAACACTTACGACCCTTCATGGATGGTAGCGAAGTGTTGGGGAAAGACTTGAGAAAAAGATGTTGCTGAACTCATTTTTTTCCTCAAGTGTCTGCTGGCAGGAGAAGGCGGAACATGTTAAACTGTGTTATCTTGTTAAGAGTTTGGCGGAATTACAGCCGCCTGAGCGAGAGGAGGGGTGGGGTTGGGTGGTTGGGTCAGAGGAAGTGTCACTCTCTACTAACAGATTAGCTTTGCTTCCCTGCTCCCTCCATCAGCACACACAGAGCTCCGAAGGGCCGGTCCTGTGACCAAGCAGAAGGTCGCAGGATAGAATTCCCAGGTGGCCTGGGAAAAGGGCTGCACATACACTGAATCAGTACTCTTGGACTTGGATCAAAGCGCCCTTGAGCAAGGCATTTAAAACCTCAGTGGAGTTGCTAAGTATAACTATGTTTGTAGAGACAAGCAACAATGTGTGATATGGTAGGAATGAAGGGTCGGCTCCAGTTGTTTTCTTCTTAGAGAGTCCTGCATCCACACTGTAAGACTTGGCATTTGGGGAGGAAGTAAATTGATGCAGAAGGCCGTGTAATGCCCTGTAAATTAGAAGCACTGCATGCATTTACAGCCGTACAGCAATGCACAGCCTTTATTCCCCGTTAGTTGTGTTTTGACATTGGCCATGCATGTGGACTGCAGTCCTCTTTGTTCAGTCTTTTTGTTATGACAACTGAAAATTAATTAGCATAAATCTTTAATTAATTTGTTGGTTGGTTGAGTTTGATTTGTGACTGCTGGATAGGTATTAGTGAGATAAATTAAAACATGTGTTTCATTAAGTCAAATTATGTTCAGATTTATTGGTATTAATTAGATATGATGTTAGTCAGCAGTGCCAGTCTGCACTGTATTGCCACTGATCATTGGTAATGACTGGTTCTTATGAGGTCAATATTGTAGGTAATCTTTAGTTAATGATCTGTTTCATGAAAATAGATTAATCTAGTTTTTCTGGAAGGTGGTTGATGCCGAGTGTGGAAGCTTTCCTGTAGGGAGGAATGTTAACATGGTATTGTCGCAAAATTCAGTCTGATTTGACACAATTTACTTGACTTGATAGATAGATAGATAGATAGATAGATAGATAGATAGATAGATAGATAGATAGATAAGACTTTATTAGATAGACTTTATTGATCCCAAGCTGTGAAATTGCAGTTACAGTATACAGTTGAATTAAATGAATGAACCAAATGATATTTTAGAAGTACAATATAAGCCCAACCATGTTAGTTTTAATACTAACATTAACGATGGCTCTGTCCCAGTACGACAGTGAGACAGCAGGAGCCTGAAAGTGCAGCAGCTAGCTGTTGGATGGATTATCATCATTACTTTTTTAATTCCACCTCTACATTTGTTCTGTGATGTGTCAAAAGGTTTTCCATGAAAAAGGTTTGTGAATGTGAGTGATAAGTTAAAAAGTGTGTGTTGGATGAACCCTGTGACATTTAGCACTGCCAGCATGGAATGTAACTAGCTAGTATCCACTGTTTAGAAGCATCTCCTTTTCTTCTATGTTGCTTCCTAATTACTGTTTTTTTTCACAGGTCGCAACTGTGGCACATTTAATATCAGTTATTTTATGTACCACTGATTTAGCCGTTCTCGTTGTTATACTTTCTGTGACTGACTGTTGTTGCTATGACCGCAATGTCATAGCACATAGCAAATTGCTTATGCACACTCAACTTTCTAAAAATGTCAAACACATGGGGGATTTAGTCATATACTCAGGTACACTGAGAATAAAGAATATAACCTATTTATTTGTATAAATATATTGTGTATCCTCTGTTTCTCCTTTCTTCTGTATTTTCACACTTTCTTTTTGTTGTATTGTCTTGTAGCTCATGACTGTTGCGAGGTGGTGTTGGTCACCTTGTGTTCAGTCAGCCGAGGTGTCCCCGAGGCCCCCGAAGACCTAAAGCCCTGTGTGGGTCGCGTGGCTCCTTTGGCCGAGCATCGATTCAGCTTTGTCCAGGATTTGGCTTTTGACATGGCCCAGTTCCTGGTGAGCAACAAAAACGAGTCATTTCCATTTCTGAATAAGCTGTAACATAACCACAAAAACTGAGGCTTGTCACAGAAGAGGAGAAAATGTGGTTACCATTGTGATACAGCAATGTGGGCAAAGTGACAGTAAGACAAAAGATTGCCATGTTATTGTGTCTTCCCTGACAAGGCTTGACGTCTCACAGTCCTCAGCATTCACTTAATGAATTCTATTCAGCGCAATCTATCATCCCATAGAAATATAAAATTTGCTTTGCCAAGGAGGAGGACAAGATAATGCAACTGTCTTGAGCATTCAGACCTAAAGCTTCTAATGGAACATTTTTTCACTTTTTAAATCTGAATATGATTTGTTTTTGTCAACACAGCGCAGCCCCAAATTAAGCGCAGCACTGATAGATGCGTGTGGATGTGTCTTCCTACATTTACGTCTTACGTTTCAGGCATTTGGCTAATGCTCTTATGCTGAGCGTCTTAAAGCGAGTGCTTCCAGTAGACTAAGCCTCAGCTCCTCCTCTGTAAAAACTTGACTCATCTTTGTAATCACCCTCCACCCAGGTGAGCACGGCGGGTCGGACTGACGGCCTCGATGGGGCGCTGCTGCTCGATGAGTGTCAGATTCCCCTGCAGGAGTGTGAACGTCTGGACGAGAGCCTGGCGCTGGCCCTCCACCATCTGACGCTGCCTCCAGGATGGAGCTTACTTGGGAGAAAACTAACCAACAACACTGGTGAGACTGGCAGGCAGTGGACTGGTCTGTAGCGAGCAATTTCATCACACAATAAAATGTCCAAGGGTCAGACAGTATGTCTCTGCACTGATTCAGAAACATACCGGCAAATTATAGTTGTACAGCACATAATGAAACACGTGGCACCTCTCGTGTGTGTGTGTTGATGTATCACATGCAGTAGCAAGACTGATCAATCTCTGCACTGTCTTGCAGCATTACTGCTGAAAACGACATTGTTACTAATTGATATAGCTGCAACCAAGAATTATTTTCACTATCGATTAAACATGTCGGATCATTTTGTAAATTAGTCGATTAGTTGTGGTTACATTTTTCACCGTTTCCCAAAGTGCAAGTTGACGTCCTCAAGCGTCTTGTTTTGTCCACAACCCAAAGATTTTCAGTTTACTGACATAGACGACTAAAGAAACCAGAAAATATTCAGAAAATTTAATTTTTTCACAAACAATTACTCAAACCAATAAATCGGATCAATTTAATAGCTGAAAACTAATCAATTAATCAACTAATTGTTGCAACTCTACTGATTAATGCAGATGAGTGCACAATATACAGTTTAAGAAGTCTCTGTTCTGTGTGTGTGTGCTTTGCAGTGTGTGTGTGTGCGTGTGTGTCCTGCTGCTAATTAGTAGAAGACTCCCGTTTAACTACCTTTATAGACAAATCCAACAGCTGATTAATGCGACACGCTCACAAGCACCGTCGTCATTACTGTGGTGGAACTGAACACATTTTATACTGACAGTGGAAGCGCTGACGTTTGGGGTAATCACGATCGACAGCTGCGCGTTCCAACAGATGAAGGTAGTCTGTGTGAATGCGGAAGTTACTCAGTCTCAGAGCAGTAGTCTGAAATGGGCATGACACAGGCTGCAGGAAGCGGGGTTTATGATCTAAATCACTGGTTTTCAAACTATGGTACCATTGGTGGTACATAAACTGTCTCTTGTAACAATCTTATGTTATGCAGAGAAAGCTTTGAAATATTTATCATATATTATCTGAAATGTTCTACAAATTTAATAAATAAATTCAAAAACATATAATACTATCAAAATACAACATTTTGAATGAACATATTCAACCACTGCTGAAATGTAATTTAAACTAAGTTTCGACCTTTCTGTAAGTTTTATTTCACTATCAACCTGCTACGTAGTCACCTAGGCCACTGTATTTTAAAGTCATAATGGTGGCACTTGGAGAGCTTAATATATTCTTAGATGGTACACAGGGTAAAAAAATTGAGAAACACTCAATCGTCAAACTCCCAACTCTAAATATGTGAAACACATGATAATGTATAGAATTTCGGCCAGATAATGTAGTACTACACTAGCAGGAGTTATGCTGGGTAGTGGCTCACCATTGACCCAGAGTACACAGATTACACAGATTGCTCTGTCAAGCCGTTACTTGCCAGTCCTTGGTCAGCAAGCCACCATAGAAACATGATATTATTAGCGTTTTGTGAAAGTAACACTGATTTCACGGAGCAGAGACTTGTGATTTCTTCTTTTGTAAGTCTTGTGTTGTTGCTGAAAACAGCACAGCCCAGACACGATATCCAGCTGCCTGTTCAAACTGGACTAAATAGTTTTTTAGAAATGGAAGTTATGATATTTGATGGCTATATTTTAACGTATAACCAGTTCTACAGGATCTCCTAGACACATTTATTGACAAAAGCGCTTAAAGGCAGGTTTATAAGTGCGGTACCAATGCAGCAATTGTCTTCTTCCGAAGTCTGTGGATGAATCATCCACAATGCAGGGCACATAAAGTGAAGTCAGACTCCTATCTATAAGTCAACACACCTGCAGTATGTGTGCAGTTCGTGGCATCAGCTACACATTTGTTTGATTAAATGATGAATTATTTCCTTGTGCGGGCTACCAGAGACTAAAGAGATAGAGGTTACAGCATAGATATGAAGCTGCATACGCTGCCGTAGCCTACGCCATAACTGACGTGCGTCTCTTCAGAAATGTAACTACAAGTCAAGGCTACAGCAACCACACAGAGACACAGATATAATTAAGTTAAATCATCGACATTTTTACCTGAAAAATGACTGAATGATAGATTTTCTTTTAATCTTCTATTAAGAACTGCTTGACACTCAGTGGAAATAATGGAGGCTATATACATCTTTCAAATGGAAGGTTGATGTCAACTAGGTCGCTTATATTAACAGGAAGACATGAACACGAAAACACCTCTTTATATGGACTTGATCTGACTCTGGTATTAGTATGATCAAACAGAGCACAGTGTGTGTGGGCTGTGCAGTCTGGGCAAACAGCAGTTTAGGTTGTGAGAAATAACTATGTCAGTGCAAACAAACCTACAGTTTTTATTAAAATGAAAGTGCCAATTTTCTCCAGCCATTGACTCTGATGACTTTAATCAGTTAAAGGAAGCCAAACGAGCTGATGTGGATGATAAACTCTGCGAGGTAATTGCTCTCTGAGAAGCAGCATAAACAAGGCTTTTGGGAGTAGTTAGAGTGCGGCCTCTGCCTCTGGCTATTGTTACGATAATAGCTCATGGTTTAACTTAGACTTGGATATTAGACCAAACCAGCAGGATCTCTGACAAAAATGAAGACTCAATAAGTACATAGTGGGGATTGAAAGTCCACTGACTCCTTAAAATGTTTTATTCATCAAAGAAAAGTCATCAAATCAAATGTTCAGTAAAGACCTTCCTGCCGATTAGATAAAATCTGCCTGTTACTGTTGTCAAAAGTGTTATAGCTTTTTAGAGATGGACAGACGCATGCAGGCTCTTTTGCATGGAAGTCAGTTGTCATGTTGTTGATGTTGAAGGCGGCCTCCTGCTGCCGTGAGTGATGTGTGCTCTAATAAGCTTTGCTTCACAATATGTCACGGCTTCAATACAAGACGCTGAGCTGCAATGAACTGCGGGGAGGGAGGAGGAGTGAAAGTCTGCTCTACATTTATCAGATCTGTCAGATGATGGATAGCGGCAGACTATAGGTAGAGGTGACGGTGCTTTATCTCAGTCATCCTTCACGCTGTGGACACGCAGCAGTCACTGATTTCACCATAGCCAGCCATTTATCGTCCTCAGGGAAATTAATTTCACCTGGAAGAACAGTGCATATCAGTGAAAATGGTGAACAACACTCATCTAATTTACCAGTTAGCAACATTCAGTGTCAAATTATCTGTAGCCTATAGTGCTAGAATGCTCACAGTGACAATGCTAACATGCTGATGTTTAACTGCTATAATGTGTTCACCATCTTAGCCTGCTACGATTTGCTAATTACCCTTAAACATAAAAAAAAAGTACAGCTGTCACTAATGGGAATGTAATTTATGTTTGCAAATTGAATATCTTTGGGTTTTGCACTGTTGGTTGGACAAAAGTAGCAAAACTTTTTAGACCAAATAATGAATTAATGAATAACAAAAAAGATCGATAATGAAAGTAATCGTTGTGTCTTCATGTTTGTTATAGTTGGAAGTTTAAAGAGTGAGAAAAAACATTTGACTTTTGCATAGCTAGTGAAGCTACCTAATAGCCAGCTAGACTAGGATCAATGCCAAGGAGCAGTGGAGCTGTTTTGTTGGCTCATGGTGACCCATTGTTAGTGATTCCTGTACTGCATTAAATGGCTCTAACTACATGTATCCCAGCTGACCCTCCCAGATGTCATAGTACAAAAATGGCATGGATCTTATGGCAGTTAGTTTTGAGGAACCATGATCAAACGCAGCAGTAAAGCATTTCCTGCTGCTGTTTGGCACCCCACATTCCAGTCCGGCCCAGCTCGGCCAAGTGGAGCATTAACTATGACCAATTAGCTTGAAATTCATCAGGGCAGGGTGATTCAGACTGGCCCACGGTAAATGGAGTGAAACCTCTCATCAGCAGACACAACCAGCATTGTAAATGTTGCCTAATGGTTATTATGGTGCTGATAACAGAAAGTAAAATGTGTTTTCAGCCCCTTTGACCGATCTGTCGCACATTTCGGCCGTTTTATTTTTACTCTTTTCCAACTGATTTCATCTAATTATTGAAATCTGCACACAGCACAATTAAAAAGCTACATGAAATGACAAGGGAGTTGTAATATAGAACTGTGTCTAACTGAAAAAAACATGAACGTTCCCTGTTTGCTCAAATAATGTTTGGATTTGTGTATGGACACTGGAGGAAGAAAATCCTCTGTTCACAGGCAGTGACAAATGTAGCTAAAGAGTAAAACACAATCTTTCTAATAACAGTGAAGAAACACTTTAAGTCCAAAGAAATCTGGACTCAGCAACAGTACCGTGGACATTTTATCTTTCGCATTCCTGTAGTTTCTGCTGTTATTAATAACCAGAGACCAGCTGGTTTGATAAACAAGAGCATTATGTGTGCAGTATACTACTGACTCTGCATTACAAGACATCTGGGTGCTGAAGTGGAGAGCTTTCAAACACCACAGCATTGAACTTGTACAGTTGTATTGTGTTTCAACTTACCAGTTTTAACTTATTAAGGATGTATTTCTCTCCAATGATCTGTATGTTCCACCTTTAATTGTGAAGTTACCATTTTTTGAACTCCACGGCTTTCTCTCTCTTGTAAACAAGCTTACGCCTTATCTCAGGCTGCCCTTTTAAATTGACAATAAATTTGCCAGTGTCTTGACACTAGAAGATCTTAATAATAACAGAAAAGATTGGCCAACTTCTGTATGTGTAAATATTTTCCCCAGTGAATTCAGACGAATATATAATTGCACAGATTAAAGCTGAGATGAGAAGATCTCTGGACCAACCAGCAAGTGCTCATCCTGGCCCAGAAATGGCCAGTTTAAAAAAAAAAAAAAAAACCCCAAAACATGTTGGCTTTAATCCAAAAATGACAGTACAGCTTCCATATACCTGTGTTGATGTTGAAGACAGACACACAAGCTGTGGTTTTATCAGTCTGCAAATGTGTAAAGGTCTGTTGTTGTGGACCCTGTACTGGTATAATTAGACAGCACTGTGGTGTTGCCAAGCTGCAGCTAGTAATGGTATGTCAGCTACTGCACCACAAACTGGTTGCCTGGACTGCTGCAGTCTTCTGTCTTGCTCTGTTCTTTTTTGTTTGTTTGTCTGATTATTTCTGTACTCTTGTGCTTATTCCTGAATTTATATTGCTCTGTCTCTTCCTCAGACCCGAATCCTCAGGAGACTCTGCTGCATTTCTCAGCACGTCGAGGTCTTTTTCGAGTTACGCACTTCTTGCTGCAGCAGTCTGGAGCAAGAGAAGCGCTGCGATTGGCCAACAGACAGGGCCACACCCCCTCCACCATTGCAGCCCTCCGAGGACACGAACGCCTCCACAAGCTCCTCACAAAGTAAGCACATCTTGTAATCACAGTCAAAGGCTGTTTTTAATTGGACAGTAATAGTACATTTTTTTTAATGCAGTGCTCTTTAGTTTCAGCATAATTCAAAAACAATAAAACAATATGTACACACTGTTTGACAGAGGGAACATTGCCCTCTTTCTGTACAAACAGTCTCATGTCAGTATATTAAAGGGGCAGATGGAGCAGTTCCACTAGGTCCTTTAGGGCAACCTTGTTTGTCTGTTACCTTCACGGAACAATAAAAGTATCCAAAGAACACCGCCACAAAGCCCACTGCCTAGCCTAGCACTTACAGCTGCAGCCGGATAGTTGAGGGCAAATTGAAAAGTTGTGGGCTGCCATTATTGTTCCAAGAGAATCCAGAGAAATGGGAAACTATTCACAGCACAAAAGCCTTGGTTACGACTTCTGTGACTACTGACCTGTTGTAATACTTCTCCACAACATCTCACTAAGTGTAACTTTACTTTAATCCACACACACACAGCAGTGTTGTCTCTATAGAGTTTAATGGCAAGAGGATGTATGTATTTTGTTTGCAGTGAGTGACTACTGAGGTCAAATTCTTCCCATCCCTTTTATAGTTGAACACTAAGTTGCTGGGGGAAAACAGCTTTTTGGTAAATAGACTGAGAAGCGGCTTAAAGTGGAAATGGACTGTTTTTATGTCTTCTAAGCACTCAACTTATCTTGTGCATAATAGTTTTCATTTATCTCAAAATGAAGATGCCACAAGCTGAAAGACAACTACCACTTTGTGAGCTCGCTCATTACGAAGCATGCACTGAAGTTGCTTTACAACTTACAGCTCCCTCTTTATGTGGTGGTAATTACATTTCCCTCATGAAAAGTGAAGTAACTCGCAGCCTGGCTGGTGACCTCAGCCATCAGGCCTCGCAGCTAAAGCAGTCCACCCAGGATTACGCAAACATATTTGCCTGACTGGGAGGTGTCTCCCCTTTACAGCACTATCTTTATGGACAAAAACACTGCACATACTTTCACCTTCAACACTTAGAGCAGATGCAGCAGGGGGAGTGAAGTTTTCTCAGAAAGCTTATCGACTAGGAGTGGTCTTCATTTTACTACTGGGAAGGAAAGTAACATTTTTGGTTGGCTGGCCACAGCGTCTGGAACTTTTTTTTTATACATTTACTATCTGGTTAATTACTTGACAGGATCATTATAGGTGGCTTGATTACCCACTAAACTGCTAGAATAGACTAGCAACCACAGTATTTGACCAATGGCCTTTCCCACTCCGGAGGAAAGAAATAGCCTTACCGGGGATAAGAAAAGGGGGAGTGTGGATCGGCTGACCTCACTGTTTAAACCTTCTATTGAAAGCAGTTCTGTGCTGTGTTAGCCAATGACGCTACAGACCCTTCCGGATGATCTAAGTGTTTATTTCACGGCAGGGCTGAGACGGACACAGAGACGGACAAAAGGACTGAGACTGTCCAGCTGGTCTCTAAGGATGCCTGGGTAGTTTGCCACCTCCCCAGGCTGAACACACACACTCTGACGCTGAGCAACCACCCTGGCCACGACCCTTTGACCCTTCAGAGGAGCGTGGAGCAGCTGCTACACATGATATGCCATCTCCATGCCAAGGTGAGTCACCACGCCACCCTGCCCTTTTAGCACGCTATCACTGCTCATGTTGGCTTCACCCAGGACCTGTGCTGCTGCTGAACATTGTTGGATTGTTTGTCTTTTCACTGCCCTCATTTTTTTAACCTTCAAGCTTAGTTTGTATAACCGGTGGAACACCTTATGCAATCACAGGGTTGGCGATTGATAAGAACTAGAGAGCAGCTCTGTTGGTTTCTCTGAGGGAAAAGCTAACGTTTATTCTCCTCCTTTTCTATATTCTGCAGGGAGTTTCTGTACTGGAGCTGCAGTTTGATTCTCTCCACACCGCTGCTGAATGTTGTGATGGTGTAGAAACAGAGATAACCTGTCTGGAGCGACTACAGCAGCCTTCTCTAGCATCACAGTGCCTGGATACAACAACAGGAGGGAACTGGGATGAAAACTGCTTTGTGGAAAGCAGCAGTAGTGTTCATTGTGGACACGGTGAGACTGGGAATGCAGAGAAAGACTGGAGTTTGTCTGTGAGTACTCCAGCGTCAGAGGTACGTCCCCAGGTGCATGGACTCGGACCCCCAGAGGACTGGGTGTGTCTCAGTTCAAACACTGAGAGCGATTACTGCCAAACAGAGGAGGGAAGGGAGCAGCCTGTTGTTTCCACCCAGAGTTTGAGTTTGTGTGACAGGAGTGAAGGAGCACAGAGTGAGGCAGAAGGAGAGAGCTTTACTGTGGGAATCCTACCACCAGCAGGCTGTGGTAAACAGGCAGAGGAAACTGATAGAGGGGAGGCTGTGATCCGGGAAGGAGAGGAGGCCACGGAGGGAAAGGATATATCAGGGCAGGAAGCAGAGGACAGCACAGCTAAAAGGAGGGAGGAGGAGACCATCTCCGAGTCAACAGATCTAATAACGCCCAGTGGAGACACGAAAGCTTTAGTCATGGGCCAGACACCATCATCAGAGAGCTCTAACGTTTCTGATACCTCTGATTCTGAAATGAAGGAGTGCTGTCAGGAAGGAGAGAACGTCGGGAAAGAAGAGATGAAACTTAGCCAGGAGCTCTGTGACGGACTCTCTTTAGATGAGGAGAGGGCAGAGAGTGAAGGGTTAACAGACCCTTTATCAACCCCAGGAGACCTCCCCAACCTATCGCTGATAGACTACGGTGATGTAATTGAGGAGCCTGAATCTGCTGTTCCACGTCTCTCGATAGAAGGCCTCCACGAGGGGGAACCTCCGCCAGACATAAACAGCCTGGAACAAAACCAGGAAACAGCTGGTAGGGATTACACTACAGAGCAGCAGGGCTTGGCTCCAGAAACTGGTTGTCATTCTGGGAATTGTACTGGAACAACCAGTGGTAAAGAGTTAGATCGTGAAGACGTAGCTCAGCCTTCTGGATACAGTATCGAAAGTACCGTTTTGCCTAGTTTGGACGAACCTGACAATATAGCTGACTGTCACACTACTGGAAACTCCATGGAAGATATACAGACAGATCCATCAGTTGAACCATCACCTGAAAAGGTTCCCAGATCCAGTAATAGACAAGCTGATCTTGATTCAGGGATTACCCATGGCCTCTCCAGTGATGATGATGGCAGTTTCCAATCAGTCGGGAGCTCCACAACAGAAATATTCCACCCCACTCAGGACACTGCTTGTATGGTGAATCCGGACTTGCTTCAAACCAAGATAGCAGAACTGTCCTCAACAGGATTCAAAATGGAGGGACCAAATGATTCAAAACCTGGTGAAAACAATGAAGCGGACACTGGCAGTGAACTGACAGTGACAGACTGCTGCCAGACTGGCACTGAGCCTGAATCACAACTGTCACCCAGCCTCCAAACAATGGAGGCATTGAATATAGAGGGGACAGGAGAGGAAATCGCCCCAGAACTTTCCAACGAGAATCTGTCGTTAGGTCCAGCGCTGTTACAGAGCGGGGACTCTTCAATGGTGAAGGTCGATGAAAGCAAAACTGGAGAGGCAGACGACTCAGAACTGAATGCGGAGATTGAGTATTTGGCATCAGAGGTCACCAGTAGGGTTGTATTTAAACCCAGTCCATCTGTTGCAGAAGAAAGTGACGTGATTAACCCACTTGAAGGGGACCATCATAAAGAGACCAGTGAGAAATCTGCAGTAAACTTGGCTGAAAAGAGTGGAGATGTGCAATTGGTGCCACACCAACCCAAACTGGATATTTCAGAGATGACGGCAGATGAGACGTCACTTGATGAAGGATTAAGGGGCTCAGAGAATGAGATTAATGTGTCCTCATCACAAGGTGTCACTCAACTTTCAGATAGTAAAGATGTCAATGCTAATGTTACACACAATGAAGCATCCATTGAACCTCATGTTGAAAATGAAAATCCAAAGACCCTTGACGCAGTGGATGGCAACTCACAAAGTGCAATTGAAGGTGGGCAATCGCTGATTTATTTCAGTCCCAGATTAGGTTTATTCTAGTTCCACACACTCTCATACATCACAGGGCAATATGTTTGTCAAAGTCTTATTCCTAAACAAATATGCTAAATCAGATTTAGTCCTCCTCCTGTGATTAATGGCAATGGCTCCACAAAAACTAAATGCAGTGTAGCTCACCATAATTGTGCTCACAGAGGTTTCTGGTTTGTGTGACATCTTATTGTGATATATTGCTGTTGTGAAGACATGCTTTGCTTAATCCTTCTGCTTTTTTGGTGCCAATTGTCTTTCTAATGAGGTTTTAGTAATTCTTTAGGATTTAATTTTTTATAAAAGCAAAATAGTGTTTTTTTTAACATGTGACATTAGCACCGTAATTTGCAACATTAGGGACATGTGGGACACTGGGATACTTTGTGACATGTTGCATAACAGGAAATACTGAGCCAGTTTATATCTGTGATACCTCAGGCCATATGACTGACAACACTTCCCTTTATATTCATATGTTCTGTGTTAGTCTCTGTCTCCTGCACACATGCAGACTCTGGCTTACAGTATACTGTATGTCAGCAGACACAATCACATTACCAGTGCATGTGACCTAGTCTCAGTAGCGCAGCTAGAAGGCTGCATTCTCTAAAACAAACATACATAAGCCAGCAGGAAGTGAAAGACTCTTCTGCAAGTGAACTTCCAGCACTCCTGCAATTTTCACTCATCAGGAATAATTGTACTGGACCCAAGTCCAATAAAGAAAGGTCGAGGGCAAGGTTGGTGCTGTGCGTCACACAGAGAGTGGGGTGTCATTATGAATGAGGGGATATATTTACAACCTGACAGTGGTCTAGCATCAGGTAACATCACAGACCATCAGAGACAAGCTTTCTGTTGTTTCATGGTTTCGAAATAAAGATGTGAATATTCAGTCTGGGTTCTAGTGGATGTTCAGAAGTTGTTGTTCTTCTTCATGGAGATTGATTTCTGAGACTTTTCCACTCCCCCCTCGCATTCATCAAGTCATGTTCACTTACATAAGCCTTCCAAGATAGATTCCCGTAATCCATCTCAGATAATTATAGTACCATCAATGAACCATTTGGTTTCTGTTTTTCTATTCAAAGAGTGATTAATTCGTTTACATTAAAGGGTTCCTTTCAGAAAATCTTTAATAGTACATATAAAGTAAAGACACAAGCTGATACATCACTATTATGCAGTCAAACTCCTCAGTGTATCTGCAGTGAGAGAAGACAAGTCTCAGCTCCTTTCACTCTAAACACTTGTTATTGATTCCTGTATTTATTTGGAGGATTTGTCATTGAAGTGATTGCATTGTGTGTGTGCATTTTTCCAGAGCTGGAAGCCATCATGTCTGAAGAAACTGTAATTGCTGCAGGGCAGAAAGAAAATGGCCCAACAGAGGAAAGAGACATCTCCATGGTAAGCTCAAAGACTTTGTCTATGTCTGTAAGTCATTGTTGTAGATGTAGGTACGAAACCTTTGGCATGAAGATGTTGTTGTGACTAAACATCCAACCAAGCACAGCTCCTGAGCTATTACATGACCAGGGGTAAAATGTGGCTTGAATCTTAAGTTGAGTGCATCTTTTTCACAGTAGATATTTTAGGACTTATAACATGCTGCACTACAATGTTCCACCTGTGCCTTTCTTGCTATGAAATGTCAAAATTTCTGCTGTGATAAAGTTTTGTGAAACTGATTCATGTTTGAACTGCCAAGTAACACAAGTGCTTTGACGCTATCTGGCAAGTAAGCCAGGTTAGCGAGATTTATTCAGAACAAAAAATCTAAACGTGCAACATGAGTTGGAGAGAAAAGAAAATATTAAAAAAACGTATCGGTTGTAATCACAAGGATTGTTTTTCGTGTTTATAAAAAGTGTAGGAGCTAAGGCAAAGATATACTAAAACATTTAAAAGATAAATACATAAAAATGTTATCTAGTGAATACTTATAATAGTAGACTCTACCATAAGTAAGAATAATAATGTGCATACATTGACAGTGTGTTTAATCAGACAGGTACAGTGTGTATACTTGTTGAGTCACTCTGTTAATGTGATCCAGGGATGGGCAGCAAGCTTGCAAAAACAGATCTCGGCATCCTCATGACTCATTAATAGCTTGCAATGTTGGCCACGAGTTCAATCCAGTGCCCGAGTGATGAAGGCGTGACTGATTTCCATTGTTAAGAATTTAATAATTGCTTCTTGTTTGCATGGTTAGTCGGCATTACAGTTTGTAATAGCATCATAGCATAGCTTGCACTTTGCATCTGCACGACAGAATTTAATGAGAAAGATGGATGAAAAGAATCACGTTCAATAAAATGAAACTGCAGAATTGCTACTAAATGTTTTTGACTTTATTCTGTTATAGGCTTAAGTGTCAAATACTTTATTATGTACCTAGTGTATGCACGAACATTATTGTAGAAGAACAGTTTTACAGTTGCTTAAACAGTGACAACTCTTGGCATTTTATTAAAAGTTTAACTTTTTTAAAATATTTATTAGGAATAGTCAGGGATTGCATAGTATCTCCAGTGAAGTATGGCAAACATTTGGGGGGAGAAGGAAAGGCAGGACTTGGTTAGGAGCAGCTTGATGTGCCAACTAGGGATTTGCAGAGAGTTCAGGAGTACGGGAACATTTTTCCCTCTGAGTAGAACCTTTCAATTTCAGACATGCAGCTCTTTCTGTTATGTTTTGTATTTTTGGTTAGTGCAGTCATTTAACAACATATTACCTGCTGGAGTGTCTTTAAGTATGACCTACATTTACTGCACTGTAAAATCCAACAGGATCTCTTTACCTCGTGGTGTGGCAGTCATGTTGTGCAGTTCATTTACTGTCTCAGCTCAGCCACTGAGCACATGGATGCGATCTTCAGTAGACCAGGCTTTACTCTGAAATGTTGCTGACTGACAGATTCCTCAGCAGCCATAGACTGGAGTGGCTCTGCTTATTCCTGGGTTGCGGTCTGGGTCAGTGGCTTGTTCTGAATGCCAGATGTTTGACTGCAGGATATACACAGCCTGCAGGACGCTGGGGTCGCCAGCAGAGGGCGATGTAGCCTCAATGGCGTCATAGGAATCTTTCCTCTAAAGGGGGAATTTAATGACCTGCCATTTGATCCTGTTAAAATCTCCTGTAATTTCTATGATCTGCAGGCAATTTGGAGTCACGCTGGTGTTAAGAAAACTTAAACACTGTACGAGTTGGGGTTAAGAAATTGCCTGTTCGCATACTGGAGATGCATTCTCAGGAATTATCTTTAGCATTTTAGTTCAGACTATTTGAATAGTAGTAAGTAGTAGTAGTAGTAGTAGTAGTAGTTTAGACGCAAAGTGTGTGAAATATATCAGAATAACAGTCATTATCACTAGAACAGTCACAGCCATCGACCATCATGATTTATATCACACCTTTATCACAGTATATTAAATCATTTTTAAGAAAAAAAAGATTAAAAGTGGTAGAGGATTATAAAACTGCAGACAACAGCATGAGTGACTTTATAACAGAATGAAAATGACAGCAACAACAACTAGCTCCTGTTATTGTTTTAAAATATAGGTACTACTATAGGTAACACTTTGATCCATAATGCTCATGCTCTGGACATGTTTTTTTATCAGCAGCTGTGAGCCCCATCCTCAACACATGAGCTTGTGTATACATTTAAGTTAGACTGATCATTTATTTTGCAAATGGGAGTCATATAAAGTCAAAGCTGCACCTAGTGGTTTAATATAACTAAGCACATTCACTTTACTTTACTTGAGTGTTTTCTTCTCCTGCCACTTTATACTTCTTCTCCACTTCAATTATTTACTTTACAAATTAAACTTTTTCTCTCAAAACATATGAAAATGTAGTATTGTGAAGTCACTTTGGGCTCTGGGTAATTGTGATGGCATTTCTCACTGTTATTTAAACTGTTTTTTGGGGGGATTTTCAGTAACAGAAAACCACGACATACAAAATTGAGACATAGTAGCATGATCTTCAGGCATGATAACATGGCATTTCTCACAATTTTCTGAATATTTATAAACCAAACAAACAATCGTTTAATTGAGAAAATTAATCCAAAATAAAAATGATCAGAAAGTCCTATACAAAATAGTTAACAATGAGCTCATCCTCAACCTATTAGAACAGTAAATTCCTGCTTTCTACATCTATGCATGATTAATATTAATCTAATAATAGAATATACATTGATCAGCCGTAACATTCTGAGCACTGACAGGTGAAGTGAATAACACTGATTATTAGGGTCATGATTCACTGATGCATGTAGGGAATGAAGGCTGGCCCATGTGGTCCGATCCAACAATGAGCTACTGTAGCTCAAACTGCTGAAACAGTTAATGCTGGTTCTGATAGAAAGCTGTCAGAACACACAGAGCATCCAGTTTGTTGGTATGGGGCTGCAGAACATTCTGACCACCAGGGTGCCCAGCTGGTCACAATGTTATGGTTGATCGGTGTATACAGTAACAGTATAACAGTCACATTTTTCTTCATTGAGTACTTTTACTTTAAATACTTTACTTTCCTGGTTATACTTTCACTCAAGTAACATTTTTAGTGCAGGGCTTTTACTTAATGGAGTCATTTTAGAGTGTGGCATTTGTACTTGTGCTTAAATAAAGGATCTGAATACTCCACTGACAACACCTAATGGAAGAGAAGAAAGGAGCAGTAAAGTTAAATGTGCTGTCGTCAAGGCCTGTTCAATAAGGCCTGTTCAATAAACACCCTTTGTGTTACTTTTATTTATGTGAGGAGTGGTTGCATTCACAGCTCTGTTCATTTTCCAAGGTAAACAGCTCATCAAGTGAGTAAAATCCACAGCCAAAGGCCAAAGAAGACAGCATCAATATTATAATAGAATATATACTGTAATATGGCCTGTGTCACAGTATTATTTACCAGACTGGCCAAGCTTGACTCACTGTATCTGCTATATAGACAGAACCTGCAGGTATCATTTGCTCTGTTTATACATAAGTAAAAACCTAAAGACAATGGACTATTTTTACTTTTTGTCCCACATGTTAATCTCTGTAAATGCTCCTTAATAAGATGCATCTTTTTTCTCCTATTTGTGTTCTTTCCCTGTGTGCTTGGATGGAACCTTAGCAGAGCACCAAAGAGATTGTCAGTTTTGAAATCCACCAAACAGGAGTGTATATTCAAAGTTTATATTTTCCATGCAAACGCTGTGGTTCATTTGGTTCAACGGTTCAATTGCAGTGTCTCCCTTGACACTGAAACACCTGGGGCTCTGTGAAGAGCTCGGATTAGAGGAAACTTTGATTTGTTTGTGGATGCCAGGATTCACGCCTGTGCTATTGGCCAGCTAAGAGCAATACCTGAGGTCAAAGCTAGATTCTCATGTCGGGGACAACCCGCAGACTATAGAGACTACCACACGTTTACATGGATCTAAATATCATCCAGGAGGTGCTCAACCCCAGTGTGCAGGCCCTCTCTTAACCCCAGAAGTGTAAGTTTAATTTTGGAGGTGGAAAACAATATTGCATTTAAAGGTCCAGTGTGTAATATTTCGGAGGATCTATTGGCAGAAATGATATATAATACTCATAGCTATGATTTCATTATTGTATAATCACTGAAAATAAGAATGAATGTGTTTTCGTCACCTCAGAATGAGAGGTTTTATCTACAGAGGGAGCAGGTTCTCTTCCACAGACTTTTGCTAGATGCCACTAAATCTTACACTGGTCCTTTTAGGATGAGTTGATTTGATTTGAGTTGTTTGGGGAGTAGACACTTCAAAAGATAGACAGCAAATTAATCAGTAACTTGCAATATGCAGTAAGAAATAATTGGTGCTGGGGGCTTCACTTTATATATTTCCAGCAGAATTGTATCACAACAATATTATCACATCATCTTATCTTTTTACCATATTCTGTTGCCTCATTAAATGATTCCAAGCTAATTATTATTAAATGTAATGAAATCAATTACAGCAATTTAGTTTAAAACAACAAGAGTTTTGTCTGATGTAATGCGTAAGAGCGGGACACCGTTCATAGCAATCACCATCAGTTAGATTTTTTTAATGTATGATTTTGCATACATATGTGCCATATTTCGATATATTAATGTCGGATTTTTTAAAGAATTAATATTCTAATATTGATTTCAACCATATCACACAGGACTAGACATAATCAGTCACATCTAGTTTGTGATCTGCATGGGAGAGTAGCTGGCCAACTCTAGCTCTGTTCTAGCTTCACTTCCATAACATCACTCCCAACTTTGTTCAACATGGCCATTGGCCAAAACTATCATCTTAGAAAGGTGCAATCACTCCCAGAAGGCACCTCACAGGTAGCCTCAATCCTCATCCAGCAGGGGGTGTTGAATCTCAA